AAAGTTAGAGAAGAATAGAGCTCATGGCCCCACCAGATATCCCACCATGCAATGCAGTGAAGCTCTCTCCTGAAAAACACCTACTTTTTCTTACAGGCAACTCCCAAATGACACACTTCACACCATCCAACCTCAGTTCACCCATCACACATATCACCTCAGATTAAACACCCCAGAACTCTGGCGACACCAGTAACAATTTATCAATATTTTGCATAAAAAGAACCACTGTTACAATATTCATACACTCCCATGATGTTCAGTGACTCCCCAGGTCACAGGCACACTGTTAGCCTTTGTTAGGCTGTGGTGCGTGTTTAAGATTCGGAGCTTGTGCTCTTTATCTGGTCCCACGCTGAGCCCAGATGGGGGGAGCAAGTGAAAAACATACTGAGGCAGCAAGGCAGACACACGGGCCTCTAATGGATGATGCTGATAACAGATTTCAGCTTTAATTGTTACAGGATTTAAATAATTTATTTGACAAAGACGCACACTCAGCCTCGGCTCCAAGCCCCACACCGACGCACATTATGTGAAGAGATTACCCTACCTATGCATATTGTTAATGCCCCTTCCACCCCCTCCCATAAAAGGTACAACTTTAGACACCCTCTTTGTCGCTTAACAGTGAGACACAGACAAGATGATGATCAGAGGGAGGCGGTTTATAAAGGGAAGCAGAGGACTTCATTAATAACAAATACCAGAAAAAAGAGAGGAGGGAAAACAGAAATAAAGCCAATTATGTCCATTAAAAGCAAGAAACTAGCTCACTGCAACAGTGAAGACCTTAAAGTAACAGATCTCATTTCTGTGACATCTGGCAGATAAAGGCATCACTGCAGGACAGATGTTTGGCTGAAACAGAAAATAAAGCAAACAGCATCTTTTGCTTTTTCTCTCTGATTCAGTGTTTGTTGCATTCATTCTCTCAGCTCACTGCTTTTTTTTTTAATATGTTCTATTTATCGGCCACTGGAAAATAATTTTCTTGGCCCCATTGCCATGGCTACATCTGTTTGAAAGCTGGTGTCCAACTGTCAATCAGACCTGGAGAAGATGCTCCAATTACAGCTTACAACATTTCACAGGCAACTTAGAACATCCATTTACATAGCAATCACATTGCTCTCTCTACACTTAAATGTCAGCCAACCCACACACAGACACACAGAAACCTGAGGACACTCATGCTGCTTTAGCCGGGGAAATGTTGGACTTAAAAGCCTTACTCAACTTTATTAAGTGGGTCTTTAGGAGGCAAGAACTAAATGAAACACTGAGAAGCAGCAAGTGAACCAAGTCATATCAAACTTCATTCTCCCCTTAACGCATTTGGTTGCAAGTTGCTCTGGGCATAGATATGCCTGCTGTGGCATCCCCATTTGATCTCCTGCGGCGAACCATGCATACACACATGCATAAACTGGGTCCGTGTGGTCTTAAATTCTTCTCACGATCTGTGTCGCCAAGGACCACAATAGCACTGGGATGAAAAAGAGCACAAACAGAAGAGACTGGGAAACCTTTTTTGCACAAGTGTTGGTGTAGCAGGCTTTTCATTGCCTTCGGGGTCTTTTCAAAAACTCTTCTTTTACACTCAACACACATATGCACACAACACACATATTCAAAACCTTAAAAAAAAAAAAAAAAGAAGCTTCAAAATTAATCAGATGCATCTATCTCACATCTGCAGTCATCAAATGGGCCTGTGCTCCATGTAGGGATTTGCCATGATGCTTGGGTCCAAGGTCCCAATAATAAAAGAGCCCAACCACACAAAGAACTGAACTTGCGCTGTGTCAGGCGTCTGTAATGAGGACAGGGAAGTGCTGAGGGAAGGCACTGCCACAAAAAGGAGTAAGGATAAGTGCACCGGAAAAAGCATCTGGGGGGGTGCAGCAGGATAAAAACATGGATATATGAGAAAGAAAGATGTGAAAAGCAATGGAGAGGAGAGAGAGGGAAGGGGGCGGAAGGAGGTTTCTCTTTGGGTAAAGCTGCAGCTGCTCTCACCTGCTCACTACCCCCTTCTCTACCCTCACCCTCTCTCCCACTGAGGCCTCATTAAAGGTCTCCAGGCTATAATTCATTCACTATCCAATCACTTATCAGGCATGCAATTCCACCAGCATGCTCACTGGGATCACTGCTCGTGTTGCACTGGGAATACCGATGCCCACAAACAAGAAATACTGATGCTAATAGA